CTCTCTCTCTCTCTCTCTCTCTCTCTCTCTCTCTCTCTCTCTCTCTCTCTGTCTCTCTCTCTGTCGCTCTCTGTCTCTTCCTAAGCACCTTCCCGCCCATCTTTTTTAATACCTCTACTAAATAGTTACTGCTGCGGAAAATGTTTGCTTAGATAGAACAGAAGGAACTGTCTCCTGCATGTATTGTGGTGTTTGCCTGTCTCTCTGTCTCCAGCCTCCCGAGGCAGAGAAGCAGCGGCTACGAGGAGCAGCAGAGAAGTTGTTGAGTGTATGGGGGGAGGAGACAGGCGGCAGATTGAAGAAGAGGGACAAAAAAGGATATCCTATAGATGGGGATCTCCTTAGGACAATCGAAGACTATAGCTGGGGGCTGGAGCGTTATGTCGGCCTCTTGCTGCAGTCTCCTCAGACAAAGCATTTATTTAACCTTTCTGCTCACACGTGGGTGCAACTGCGGGGTATTTATAATGCAGCTGAAGGATTTAAACCCGATAAAGGCAGTAAAGTGTCTCCAAGGAACAAACAGCTCGCTGCCGTCTTCAGCAAACTATGGTTCGATTCAGATGCTGCGCTGCTGCAGCAGCAAAGGGAACAGCAGCAAGGACAAACCCAAGTTATTAGACCATTTGCTGCTATGCTTGCGTCGATTGCTCTTCAAGTTGGTGAGTATTGACACGAGCCGTAGACCACAAAACAGAGAATCCATTTGTTTGTCCTCGTCTTTATTTGTATATATTTGTATTTCTTTGTATTTCTTTCAACTTGTGTGAATTTTTATTTACTTGTATCTTTACTGAGTTGTATATATTTATATTTACCCTTTATATATATATATATATATATATATATATATATATTTGTTTGTATCTGCAGCATTCTTCTTGCATACCATAGTGGAGGAGTTTGAGCGGGGCATATGGGGTCAGGTGGGTGCAGCAGTGAAATCATTTTTCCGTGGTTTGTTTAGAAGAGACAGAAAAATGCGGGTACCGAGCAGCTGGAATCAGATTAAGATGAGGGCCCAGGGGCAGCAGACAACAGACCCTAAAGGATTTCAAGGGGCCCTCTATGCGATACAGCAGCTAAGTGATACGTTCTATAAACGATTCATAAAGCCAGCTGTACAACAAAAAGATGCTTCACCTCTTATGCCCGCTTATATTGCCTTTATTCATGCACTCGTTGCACTATGGATGGACAGTGCACAAACAGACAAATTCCAAATCAATAACCCACATATACCCAAAGCAAAAAAGCTCTTCTACTACAGCCTACTCGTACACCGTACGCCAACAATCATGGGTTAGGGCTTAGGGTTTAGGGTTCAGAGTTTGTCGCGTTCCCATTTCACAGGCTACTAGTTGCCTTTAGCACAAACATTTGGAGAGTTTAGGGCTTAGGGTTTAGAGTTTTGAGTTGTGTGTGCAGCGAAAGGTTTGACAGAAGTAGCTGCGGATTTGATAAAGAGCGGCTGCACAGGTGAGGATTCGCCACAGTATCTGCACCCCAACGCACTCAGTTGTAGGAACGCGATGGATATGGCAGAGGACCTGCTGCAGCGGCTGCCTTTGCCGTCGTGGGACTTCGGAAGCGCTCTCCTAAAGAGAGCTCCAGAATTGAATAAAAGAACCTGCTGCTGCGGGTGCTTTTGCTGGTGTTGGTTGATGCTGTTGCTGTTGTTGTTGATGCTCGTGTTGCTGCTGCTGTTATTGTTGGTGCTGTCGTCGTTGGTGTTGCTGCTGTGTGCAGACGTGAAGACGATTGATATGGGTGTGGTGACAGCAACGGTGGAGGTATCAGGCAAACGGCAGACAGCAGGCAGTACCATACTGAAGCAGAAGAAAATATCTGTGAAGCCTTCGAATTTAATTTATAATTTAAATAAACTTCTCGCTATTTATGATGATCCCCTCGATGTCCTTAGAGTGGCGCAAGACCTCGCCTCCCGCTGCAAGGCACCGCACACGCAGCAGCGCCCACAAAAGAGATTCAATGTAAGGCAGCAAGCAGACAGGTCGAAGCTAGACTAGGAGCTGTGTTTGTGCTGTTGCTGCGGCTGCCGTAGCTGTTTCAGCAGCAACAGCAGCTGCTGGTGGTGGTTCGGCTGCTGCGATAGAAGAGCCTGCGGTTGCAGCTTCTTCTAGCGGGCGGCATCTAGAAGTGGGGGAGCTCCTCTGAAGGTTATTTGCTGCTGCTGCTGCTGCTGCTTTGTTTGTGTTGCAGCTAAAGAGCTCGAAGTCGGCCAATCTGGATGACGATAGAACGGTGCAGATGCTGAGCTCAAAGTTCGTGCTGGACTTGTGGTGTCTGCAGTACAAAAGTGCGTTACAATCTGCCCCTATTGCCTCCCTGTTTGTCTCCTTTCTTCTCCCGTTTCGTCTCCTTTTGTCTGCTTTTATCCTTTTGTGTATCCGTATCTCGTCTTTTCTTGGCTTCTATTTTGTCTCTTTTACCTCCCCTTCTTGTTTCTTTTTGTCTTCGTCATTCTTCGTTTGTTTCCTTTTGTCTCCTTTGGCTGTCTTGCGTCTCTGGAGAGAAAGCCAGAGCAGCGCGCACAGCAGCAGCGCACACAGCAGCAAACAAAGCAACAGGATGTACAACAGTAGTAAGCGAAGCACGATCATCGGTCGTGGTGTTTTGTGTTTGTTGCTGTGGCTGCTGGCTGGAGCAGACTTTACAATGAAGAATATGACGGGGGTGCCTCGCGGATCTAACGGTAGCAAACTGTCGCTAATGTTGGAGGCTGAGTTGGACAAGACAGCCGAAATAGTGATAAGACCTTCAGGTGTCCCCTCTTCTTCTTCTTCTTGGGTCTTAAACCTCAAGTGTCCCTTCATGAGAGACTTTATAGATGTGAATATCAAACAGGCAACCAGAAGGGCAATGCTGCAATATGCAATATGTAAGTCAATAAACAAGGCTTAAATGGTAAAGAGAGACCAACAATACCTTTGTTGCTGCTGCTGTTGCTGGTAGTGTGTTTGCTTCTGTTGCTGCGTTTACTGTTGCTGCTGCTGTGTTTTGCCTTCTACGCCTCTACTGTGTTTCTGCTGCCGTTGCATTTGCTGTTGCTGCATTTGCTGCTGCTGCTGCTGGTGTGCAGCGCGTCTGAGCTTGGGCCGTCGTTTGTTGCGTAAGATGCGTGCAATTGGCAATTTCTTTGGGAAGAAGTTCTCCTTTAAGAGGAAGAGAAGTCCTGGATCTGTTGCTAATAAGGAGTTTGCTGTTATTCATGTGGGGACATCTACATGGGATAAAGAGAGACAGAGATTTGAACATACACTCGTATTCAAGCCAGAGGCAATGAGCTGCGGTAACACATATCCCACTTTCTCCTGTCCTGTACCCTTCATCTATCTCATTTCCAGTGTCCCTTGGCGGTCTCATTTTCTGCCGCATGTAATTGTATCCTGTTCTGTGTCCCTAAACTGTCTTTTTCTCTATCCCCTTCATTAACTGCCTCCTGTTCTGTCCCCCGTAATTGTCTCCCTTTCCGTCCCCTTTTTAAACTGTCATGTTTTGTCTCCTTCCTCTTCTGTCTCATTCTTTAGCCTTCTGCTATTTTGTCTCCTCGCATGGTCTCCTTTTTCAGCGCTTTCCTGTCTCCTTGCTTTGTCAACAAACTTCGGCGTGCTGGCTTCACTCTTTCCTCTCTTGACCCTCTTCTGTCGCCTTGATTCATTGTCTCCCTAATCAATGCTCTGTCTCCTTTGCTCTGTTTCCCTCCGTATCTGGTTTCTGTCTCCTTCTTTATCTCTTTTCGGTATCGTTTTTAACATCCTTTTTATTTCCTTTATCTTTTATGTCTCTTTCTTTATCTCTTATCTGTCTCCTTCTTTATCTCCTTGCTGTCTCCTCTCCCCTCTTCCTGGCGTGTTCGTCTTGTCTGCAGGCACTCGGCTAACTGGGCCTCGAACGCCGGTGGATTTCAGGGACGGGGATTTCGTTATTGGCTCGACAGACCTAGCAGCAGGTATCTATCTGTCTCTTCTCAAACCGTAAACCGTAAACCACAACCCCTGAGCCCTAATTCGAGGTTTTGGGCTGTTTGCGCTGTGATATGCAGACGAAGCTGCAGTGTTGTGCGTCAACAAGGGAAATTTGCAGTGCTGGATTACCCCTCGCGCTCTGATGTTTAAAGGATCAACCGAAGGTAAGATCAGCAACGGAACAACAATGACAACAACAACACCACCGCCAATAACGACAACAGCCAGCAGCAGCAACAGCAACAATTATAGTAATAATAATAGCAACCCCACCAATTTGATGTATCCCATATGTTGCAGCTTGCTGCTTTCTGCTTGCCTATAGAGACAGCACGGGGTGTCTCTTCACTTCGCGTTGTCTCTCTGTATCCGGTAGCGCCTCTTTGTTATGTCTTTTGCTGTTTGTCTCCGCAGCGCCAGTGCAACACACAGAGACCCCAGCAGGCCTGTGGTATGCGCGTCTGAGTTCAACTAATCCTTAGTTATATATATATATATATATATATATATATATATATATATATATATATATAAATTACTCCTAAGGAAACACTTGGGCAGCGGCGGGCATTAGCTGTCTCTCGGGCCCTTTTTTAGCTACTGCTGTTGCTGATGCAGCACGAGGCCGGTGCTTTTCAGGAGCAACCGCAGCAGCTGCAGCAGCTGCAGCTGCTGCAGATAAGACCTATCCGCTCATCAGTGAGCCCAATTAGGGGGCACCATACCAATACTGGGATCGCATTCGAGAACCGGGGTCCCATCCCCGCCCCATCCCAACTTGGCATTGCAAATGTGTTTTTCTTTTGAGGAGACCGTTACGGGTAGGGAGTTAAGCAGTGTTAAGCAAGGAGACAGAAGATAGATAGATGAGGAGATAGAAAGGATAAACAAAGAGACAT